TGCACTCCATACTCTTCATTCTTACCGTGAGTTTGCACTGACACGATTATCACAAAAAAATATGTTTTAAACACTGTTTTCTGTCAATGTATCAAAAAGCGTTTGCATAGGGGAAGAACATGTTGTAGTGAAATATGTTTGACAGTTTTTTTTATTTAACAAGTATATTTACAATACACATATATGACAATCACGAAAACATACACATTTCTATTATACTCCCTGATATGTATATCAATAACAAGTGTACATAACATTCACAGATTGAGTCGTGCAATTTTGGGTTAATTTGGAGTACAAATATCATCCAATCATTTTTTAGTTATATTTATTTTAGTATATTGTACATTACATATTTTAACTATATAACATCTTTATAAATACAGAAACAAAATGTTTGAAAACAAATTTGTACAAATAGTTGAAAGATAAGTTTGAATATCTGTTGAAAATTTTACACAGTTTTTGTGAGCGCGAACGCCACCATCAAAAAAAACATGTTGTGTGATTTATTTTATGCGATTTGTTTCAAAACATTACGTTTTGAATGTTTCTCATTGCAAACGTACCGTTATATTGTGATGGGACGGCAACCAGACACGACTGGAGAGAGATCAGGCACAAGACAAAACGCCTTACGTGCTCTCTGAGGCACGGGGTTTGCATTCCGCCAAGTTTCTGACACCAGGCTGCTACTGAGAATTTCTTAACATTAAAACCAAATAGATGATTTTAATACGACCCTGGACCCCATATGATCAGCTGTCGCGCTTACAACCAATAGACCAACCGCCATATACAAAACAATTGCGACATCGATTTTAATAGATATCCCATTTTTTCAGTTATATGACACAAGCGGTTCTGGTCGCTTGAAATTGTCCAATTTTGAGGAGTTGGCGACGAGGTGTCTTGGTCTGTGTCAAGAGGAAGCTCAAAACACGTTCCGGCAGGCGGACCTGGACGAGAAGGGCTACTTGACTTACGGTAAGCCTAACGTCTGTGCATAGGACTTAGGGCTATAGTAGATGTGCAATGTTTCAGAGATGGCCATAAAATTATTAAGCCCTTTGGGTTACACAGTAGAATAATGTGTTTCATATGGTGAGCGTAAAAAACCGGAGACCCTTTTTACTGGTAATCAGGCATACATCTTAGTCCTCAGGGGTGAAAACGTATATGCATTTTGGTTCGTAATCAAGAGTACAAATGTGGATGTCTATGGGCTACAGCACCCAGTTTTCGCCAGATGATTGCTCTCGCTAGTCATTATTATTCTATACAAATATAATGTGTGTGTTGTCCATAGCCAAGACCACTGTAGTGGTTCAAATAATGAAAAAAGTCATCAAGGGATACCTTTGTTCCCATATTACAAAAATTATATATAATATTAAAATTATATATATATACATTATATTTTTTTATATATATATATATATATAATGCACTTTGAGAAAGTAGTTTGTTCAGAATCGAATCGATTCCTATCATTTTAAACCTGTACAGTCAAAACAAACTGAAATAAACCGTAACTTAAGGCAATAAGACTTTTAAGAGTGCAGTTTTATTTCTGTTATTACCAATTCTGTCATTCAATAAAAATAAAGAAAAATGAACTTTATTTCAAGCACGTTAAAGTCTTTGCGTTCGTGGATTTGTACTGTGACCACAACATTCTTCCGGAATTAGTGTAACTAATTTGATAAATAATCAGTGCATATTTTTTTTTAAATTCAGTGTATATATTATGATTATAACATAATATACTAATTGGAGTGTCTGAGAGTGTGCGTTAATATGTGTACAATATTATGTTACATATTGTATATAATATTAAAATCGATTGACGTGTTAGATAATACTTTTAACAATATAAATAAATGAACAGTACTTTTTTATAAGATACGATGATAAACGAGCACACAGTCCACCTGATGGTAAGTGGTTGCTGTGGCCCATAGACATCTAAATCTATCCTCGATTACAAATCAAAATGCAGATGCGTTGTCACCCACGTGGACTAAGATAGAATGCCTTGTTTCCAGTAAAAAGGGTCCTCGGTTTTCTACACTAACCATACGAAACACAGCAGCATTAAGCTACTATTTCACGCTGGTGTTCTGTGAGAGCGTGGTCCTTCCCCGGTCGAGCTGACCCATTCGTGCTACAACTATACTTACTAATATAACTGCAGCATGGCTTAGAAGACTTAGAAGACTACTTAAAAGACTTTACATTATAAAATATTCTTAGAACGCATTACAAGTAAATACAATATATATTCTAAAATAAATGGTGTATGCAAACCAACGTCACCTTCTTTGCTGGTACTAAAAGCATCACCACGACGGACAGAATGACCACAAAAATTGGCATTCGTTGAATGAGTCAAGGTAGTTTTCTGCGCAGTTTTTTATACTGCGTGTACGAGTGGGGGAGTTTAACCGCTTATTAAAAATCTACCCTCACTGAACAGACGTATAAAAATGCTGCTCCAGGTCATTGCGAATGTCACAACAGAAAACTTAGCGTAATGTGTTCAGCATCTCTGCATCTACGTGACGAAGGCTTGAGAAAGGCACATTCCTCCAATTGCCTCATAATTAATGTGGTGAACGATAGCGTTACTGGCGACGATTTAGATTTTTAGTCATCATCATTATAATTAAGAAAATGGTTTCACAAGTCCTCTGCCGAACATATCCGTCCGTTCATCAACTGCCCACATCTCTTACCAGGGCGTCACTAGTGTGGAGAGATGACTACAAGGCTGCTTCTCGAGAACCTTTCTTCCCCATCTGTTGTGTTTTCTTCAATTTAGATTTGGAGTAAATATTACAGCTGTAATATATTTGTATTTAAATAAGAAAAAGATGGTCTACTAAAGCTTGTTTCCATGCGGAAAAACTGACAGAAACACTATTAATATTATGTTAGTGTCTACGGTAAAATGATACGAATTATTTTCCAAAAAAATTATCGTTTGTTACCTCGTAATGGACGTGGTAGAAGAACTAATCATTCAGATATAACATAACCTGTTTCTTATATTGAGAACTCTGAATATTTTTTATTTCCCATTTTTGAATTTTATGCCAATTAAACATTTCATTACAAAATCAAGGGCTACATATAAATTTAACATATTTCATAAATCATAACATTAATATAGTACTAAAATCTTGTTGTTACTTTTATTTTAATATAGATTAAAAAGTAACAACAATATTGCTTATCCCTACAATACGCTCAAAGGTCACTGTCCGTTTTTCCGCTTGCCCTAAAACATACTATTGAGTCCAATTCTTTCATACTCTGTTATTTTCAGATGAATTCATAACTTTCGCGCAGGAGAGGTCCGAGTTCGCGTTCATATTCGTGAGCGACTCGTCTCACAAACCGAAGGCGCAATGAGACTCCGCCGTTCACATACCGACCGTCTCCAGTCTGGTGCCGTGAACTTTGTATCCACATGATGGAGGCGTGTTTGTGTGATAGGAATATATTGTGGGTGTCATGCCGCTATGTTGGACAGATCTTGTGTTGGTAAAGTTTGCACGACTACGGTATGGCCAACATTCGCATAGACAGTTATCTATAAGATTGACTTTGTAATTTGTTTGAAAACAAACCAAATTTGTAACATACGACATATTTACTCTATATATATGAATATATTTAATTAAAAAAGTAATGTGTATTCTTCGAAAATATTACTTTAAAAATTACATCACTAAAATACTTTACAATTCGAATACATCACTAAAATGCTACACGATTAATAAACGCTGGCGTGTGAACACCATGGTTTTAACTTTATGTTTTTTTTTAATTATTTATACTATATATATATGTATTGAGGCTAATTGATACTATGGAGTAAAACATATTAAACTTTAGCTTAAAATATAAGTATTTTATCTCGAATAAATTAAAAAAATTATAACAAACGTTATAAAAGCCCGACCAGGAACATTAATTTTAATATAAAGGAAATTTATTTTATATTATTTATAAAATATCTTTAGCGTTATCTTCCAAATGATCAATTAGAATTTTCTATATGTCGAGATTTCGTTGCAACACCCAGTAAAGGACCAACAAAAACAAAACTTATATCCAAAAAATATTACTGTAATAATTTCACAACAGCCAGATATCGATATGTTTTTATTGTTCTGGTTAAGGCTATTGTAGGTATAACAAAACTTGTATTGACAACAGTGTCCAAGCCTAGTGATGCATGTAATATATGTGTCGTTCATTGTAATAATGAATTATCTCCATGCAATGAAGTTTTGAGAAATTAAGAGTTTTGTTAATTAACGCGTAGAAAAAAAACTACAAATTTTTATTCAATGCTTTATATTTTTTATTGTAGTTAACAAATGAAATATTATAATAGTATATAGTTACTTAAAAATAAGACGAAGTTATTTTAATGAAACAAATTATAATTTTTTTTTGTGGACTTACTTCACTGTTAAAGTGACGAGTTATACTTATTGTGATTTCGTTAAGTGGTTAATCGTAGGTTATTTCGTCATCAGACGAACGTTCATCAGCATTACGTATGCTTGACCGTGTTGGAATGTCTACAGTAAGGTTTTTGTAAAATTGATGGTAAATTGGTGGAATGTATGGGAGAAGATCAAGCATATCCTTCTTCTTAGCAATAGTGACTGGTCTTTCTGAAGGATAGAGTGGGCCTTGTTGAATATTGTACAAGTAAGCTGGTCGTCCTTGTTGCTTTTTTGATAGATCTACTTTGTAGAAGGGCATGTCAGCGTTGAGCGTTTCTTTAAATTGAAATTGTAAAGGATAATTCCTCTCAAACCTCAGCCATCTAATATTCAGCCAGTTGAAGTCGTAACCACAGGTTGTTTTTTTTTCTGTTGGTAATACATTTTTCTAATGCCGCAGTGCTTTTAAATTCGGAATGTTTTTATTTCGGTTACAACAAAATGTGGTTCTTTGCGTTTGGCTGTTTTTATGATCTAAATCCATTGATCCGGGCTATAAATTTGTCCATGACGGCGACTTGCGCTCTCAATTATCCCAAATTCCCCATCATTAGGCAAATAAGAATGCCCGGACACTAAAAACTTGTGGTCTATGGTGGTTATACTAGTATCCGGGTCTTGTATGAGCTTTAAAAGGGAAAGGGTAGTCTTAATGTTTCGATTTTGTCCAGTGCAAGAATCGGAATACATGATGACGTGATTTTGTGTTACCGCGTGAGTTTTTAAATGTTTCACGAGACAGACTGCAATGTCTTGAGACCCTCGCCCTCCTTCTATCTCATTCCAGACGTTCATGTACCCCGTGTTGTTATTAAAACAATGTATTCCCAAATTATACAAATACAGATTCCTTTTATAGTATGCTACCGAAGTAGTTAATTTTGGGAAAGCTAAAGCTTTCTGCAAATCAAAGGTTAGTACATATGCGTCATTAATCTTTTTAGCATCAATTTGTAGATTTTCTCTTGCCGAATCTGCCTTTCTTTGATGAAGTTCCTTTTGAACTTCAAACTCTTTCTTCACGTTTTCGTCATCGGTGCCTCTAATTTTAAAATTCAAGCTATCGCAAGTCTTACATATATCCTGGTGCGGTGCCTTGAAATGTAGATTAAACTTGGTGTTGAAAACTTTATTATAATATTTTAATTTTTTAGGTTCTGTCATTTCAGTCAAACATTTTTCTTTATATAGATCGTACATCTTTCGAATAGTTAGCCCAGGATTTAAAAACTTCCGGTTAGGATTACTTTTTCTTGTGTAATGGCTTTGGTACGCGGGAAAGCTTTGTATATGAGTAATAATGTCAGAATCATCTAATTTTCGAGTACTAGTCGTGCCTCGTTTATCTTTACATTGCGAGACATCGCCTTTTGATAGACAGCGATATAATCTTCCATCACTGATTTGGAATGTTTTCAAAAAATATTTTTTACATACCAGTTGTGTCATAATATGAGATTTGAGAAAATACTTAAACGAAACGTTTTTTTTCTGCTCGTGACAGATCTTTAGGTCGTTTTCTATTAACAGATGCTTTTTGCACTAATGCATATAGAAAGGCATTTTGCTGATTAAAGTCCTTTAAATTCCAAAATGATTCGAACATTTCTTGCCTTTCATTTTCTGTAAAAAGCGTATAACATTTTTTAGGACATCCATAGTCAATATTTTCGAAGATTTTGGTATTTTTCTCCACTCCCATTTTAGTTACATAACCTTTTCCACTATTACGCAATAACTTTCTTTTTATTATTCTTTATTTCTTTTATTAACTGTCCAATTTTCCTTGTTGATTGACCTTTTTCTAGATTTAGATGTTCCAGGTTCTGATAGACTAGACGGCATCATAATATTTTCGTCACAACTTGTATCTGTTTCTGAAACAAGTATAAAAACGAAACCAATAAAATAATAGTGATTTCTAGGACATAACTAAATAGAAAATGTATTCTTAGATATCGTATTTTCTTGTCTATAAACTTGAAAGTTATCACAATATTTTTAGGTTAGAAAAACAACTAATAAAAATATAACTTACCAGATTCTGTATGAATTTCTCCAGGAATAGGCTGATATTCAGAACCAGAATCACTAAAATTTTCTGTATTAGACATATTTTATTAAAACCCCACAAGAACACCGACTTTGAAAATCCTTTTTTTATTAATTATCACAACACGTACAACGGATGACAACAATCGGTCGCAATAAAAGTGAATCAACTCCGGACTTACTTCATTATAAAAGTGACTTGGGACATACTTCACTTTTATAGTGAATAACAGTACAAATCTGTTCCCAGACTAAACAAAATAGCGACATCTACGTTACTTTAGTGGTATCAGTGGAGTTGCTTCATTTTTATATTGAAAGATATGATACATTGTGAGCCCACTATGGGAAAATAAATTTTTTTAATATTATGGAGTTACACCACTATTACAATGACCGACACATATATCGATAATAGGTGTAATAAACGTTTGAATTATCGGTTACTAAACGGCGATATTATTATCTTATATGACGTAAAATTTTCATTAGACGGTTAGGAATTTTGACTTTTAACGTTAATATTATAGTGAATTTAAAGTTATATAAATAGATGAATATAGTCATTTTATTTTTGTTGGTTTTACATTTATTTTATTAAGTTACAATTTTGTTGTCATTTTAAATATTTATGTTGTTAAATAATGATATAATAATTTGATAAATTTTACTTAGACCATACTAATGAGGCTTTATAATTTATTTGTAGCTTTAAGTTGTACTTATGAAGTGTTCAAACGTTAAGACAAATGTTTACAATGTTTTACTGTTCATTATGAAATCAGTCATAGACTTTATGTAATAATTTAAATATTTAACAGTAATTTTTCACTTGTTCAAATGTTATTGGTGATTGAATCGTAGTTTGATATAAACAATGCAAAACAATAGGGAAGTGATGTTGATTTGATTTAAAAAAGCTTTAGTCTTTGAAAATGATCTTATTTTCTTAATTTAATTTAAATAAAGAGATATCTAGAAAATAATCGATTGTAATTTAAGCAGTAACCTTTTGGCAACAGATTTTGCTCAGAAAATTACTGAAGCTATACATTAACAGAGGCCGTTTGTTTAAGCCTTGCATGTGGATAAAATGAAGCTATGTATCTCATTCTTTATATTGTACACTAAATGGTGGATCGCAGGAGCCACTAAATGTCCTTCTTGTAAACAGCTTATGACTTGTCGATCACAAAAAATTAATTTGATTAAGTTTGGTTTGGTTTAGAATCGCCATAGTTCAAGGAAAACTCGATAAAGAAACGAATACGCGTTGTACGAGTACATACCTATTTATAAAATACTATGGAAAATGGTGAGCAATGGCTAAGTTGTCATTTTTATTTTACTCAATTATTAATATTAAAGTGTAAATTATGTTTTCGTGGTGAACATAAGCCCCTTAAATAATATATATCACGATAATCGTTGTACATAAATGATGTATTAAATGGGATGGCGACGGGTTCCATACAATTTATGTAAAGACTAATTCTATGCAGCGATTTTTTATCGTATGCAAAAATCTATCAAGTATAATCAGTATAGCTGTCGAAATTCCATTTTGTTTTAATATGTTTTGAATACGCTGTAGAGTGTAGATAAATAAATTTTTACAAGGCCGATAGTTTCATTAAATTGTGCCTATCAAATAAAGAAAGGGACGTCACAAACTAAGGCGACGTTGCCGCTCTTAATACATCATATATGGTATTTTATTCATTTAATATAATATATAATTGTTTTGTTTGAAAATTTTATATTTATTTTTGGTATCAGAACAAAACAAACTATTTTGCAGTATTTTATCACACTGTAATGACTAAGTTTTCATTTATAGTATGATAGATAAGCCACGATATTCTGTATATTTCACTGTAGACTGTACACAATGTACTTCATTTGCACGTTCAGATTATTCTGCAGTTATTGCATTAAAAAGTACTATTTTAGTCAATTTATGGCTTAATTGAGGCTAAACTGTTTGTGGGATTTAAATATGGCGTCCTGCAGACAGAGGGTATGTGAACATCTATTAGTAATCGTAAATATTTCATGACGTAAAGAATATAGAGATGTTGCTATTTGTAATTTATGCATAATATACCGTATATATAATCTATACTTTTCTCGTAATAAAACTCATCATTATTTTTCAGATGTAATTCACCATCATCATCATTACAGGCTATCTAAGTGCATTGTTGAACATTGGTCTTTCCCGTGGATTACGTCACAGGGTTGATGAATTCTTAGAAAATATCAATAATAAATATTGTACGACAATTTTAATCAATTTATATTGGCGCCTGATATCCTGTAATGCCTTTCGATATAGAATTATTAAGTACTATTTAAGGTAGTATTTGGAGTTTAGTACGCCATTGTTAAATGTGATACTTTTAAGGGTAACTTATTAAGAAAGCTATCAAAAAATTGAAATCACATTTATTAAAGAAAATGTTTTATGTAAATGACATTTGTTGGGAAGACTTCTAATGAGATTTTTAAAAGTATTATGTTTCATCGATTACACATTGTTTACCGAAATGTACCTTTTTATAGGTAATAGTAAAAAACCTTTTTTTTAAGTAACTTGCATCTTCCGGATTAATGTAGGCAGTATTGAAATAATGCTACGTAGACTGTAAATAAAGTGTAAAAAATTAAATAGTTATTCATTTAAATTAAAGCTTATATCATAGTAAGATATAATTAGCAGAAATCATGTTATTATAAATTGTCAATTAATATATATATATTATTATTATATCATGTAGAAAATAAATCTCGTCTTCGCAATTATGTTTAAGAAGTATAAAGTAATTTCCATAAAGTATAAAAATAAAAACATCCTTAGAAATAGAAATTGTTCTGAAATTTAACCTGTTACATAAAAAGCTGTATGCAAAATTGTGGCCAAAATGTTTTAAATAAAGAATTTACAGTATTGACAACATTGTAATATTTTAAATAGATGCTTTATCAAGGAATAATAAATTGTCATGTTAATTATGTACCCCAGACCCCAGTTGCATTCTACTTTCCTATTTTATTAGAAGTAGAAGTATGTACCTATTTTTGTAAAACGTTCTGTTTTGTTTTGTGATATTTCCTTGTTTTTTAATTTTATTTCATTTAAGAAAGAGAAAACATTACAATAATTTATAGTATTTTACTATTATAACATTTTATTATATTAAATAATTGATTGCGTCCGAATAAATTGTTGTGTGTGTATTGATTTAGTAATTTTTTCGGAGTTCCTTTACATTTGTAAAAATAAAAAAATACAGGAATAGACTGGTCGCTTGCCTTTAAAGATGAGGCCAGTGCCCGTCTCTTTTTATTCACAATTACCATAAACATATCAAGCCAGTAATTCAGAGGCGTTGTCCAATCACAATTCTTGAAAGAGACGATGCATTGGCAGTTGTTTTGTCTTACACTTTATTTGTATCTACTTAAGAGCTTGAGGTGTTATTTCAGTTCATGTTCCATGTCTCTGGTCTCAGATGAACGTTTTCAACAGCTCGTAGAGCTTGTTTAGTAGTATGTGTTCGATTTGTAGTCAGTGTACGAAGGGGCATTCAATGTATTCTTGGTATGGGGTTCACATGGGCGGTGGTCATCTTCGATGCTTTCTCTGTCTCTTTTGAATTCCTATGACCACTTCTGTACGGTTGAAATTGAAGGAGCAGTCTTGGTAAACAACCACCATTTTTTCATGGATATTTTTTTGAGGTTTTCCTTGTTTAGTGAGGAACTTAATCACCGCACGGTGTTCGATTTTTTCAACATTGTCGAGTCAGTCACTCCTGTCGTCTATGACTAAAGGTTACTTAAGAAGTAATGAAGTTATTAAGACGAAATTTCATATTTATACCCTCAGGTAGTGTCGCTAATTATCAAATCACTCTAATACCTAGAAAACATTGAACGCGCCTCGTACATGAGATTTAAATTTAATTATTTTAAAAAGTGTCACCATTCCTTTGCTAAAGTTGTAATTTGACGTAGATGAATATATTTATTGAAATATTAATTAACATTCAAAACTTATTTTTGTTTTTATTTACTGACCATAATTTATGTCTACCTAAATATTACTACGTACTACACTAAATATTATCTGTTTTGGTAGAACGGTGGTCAACGGTATGACTTACCATTGACGTCAGTGAAATTGAGGGGGGGGTGAGGGAGGGAGGGGGTAGGTGTGATACCCCCCCCCCCCTTAAAAGGAAAAGTTGTGGAGCCCCTCCTTTTCGAGTTTTTTTCATTTTTAATTCTGAGAAAATTTCCTCATTATATGGATTAATAATAAGTGTAAAAACCAGGAAGACTCCTTGGGGGAGGGGGGTTACCCCCTTCCGTAGGAGGGCACCCCTTTCACCAGAAAAAAGGGGAACTGATTTAGAAGGATTTCTGTATCTATTTTGAGACTGCACTGAAAAGCAGCCTCTTTGCCTTTGCGTAACAAATCCGGAGTGGCTGAGGCTGGTCGTTGAAGGTGACCAACAAGCCGAACCTTCGGAGGCGAGGAGATCTGTTACAGCAGGCGAGGCTGCTCTCCCTACGCGCCCCTGGCTCTATAGAAACACTCTAGGGGTAGAACAGACTCATACTAAGTGGAGTCGGGGTCAATCAATTTGGTTCTTTGATATAAGTTAAACCTTAATTATTATTATTTGTTATCTGTCCCAGTAGGTACTTTTAAAATAAAAGAAATCAAATATAATTCATAATTTATTAATCAATTTTATATACATATTGTACTGATTTAATTAATCCTTCGAAAACGTCTTTATGCGTTATTTTTATTTTTGTTCGCCAAGAATATTCAATTAGCCGTTCTGTGAAGTTTGCTTTATATCTTTCCGTACCGAACATCACTTTTAAATTTCGCCAGTGGCTTTCTATTTTTTGTGTGTGTGTCCCGTTTGGTGCCACAAATAAATTTGTACACACACACAAAATGTATCCATATTGAGGTAGGCAATCAAAGGCTCTTCAAAAATTGGTATGGCTTTTAGCGCCTACTTCCACATGCTTTTGTATTAGTGGCACCAACATTTCCACAGATTGTTCATTATCGGGACACACTTCTAATCTCAAATCATCTTTCCCATTTTCTATCATGCCCAGCACCCAATGGCCTTCAATGTGTCTCCCTCTGTCGTACTTTCTTTTTCCAAATTCTGATTCGTCTATTTGCACGATTTTACCTGGACCACCAATCTTGCCGTTAACTTCTTGGTGCTCTAATTCATAAACAACTACTGTTTCCCGGCAGTAAAAAAACCAGTCAGTTATTGTCCTTGTTTCTTTATCTTTACGAGCTGTCTCTAATTTTACTTGATAACTATACTTTTGGCTGAACATATACATCAGTAAAATTTTAACTCGATAGAACGCCGCGCATTCTCGAACCATGTTCCCGCTGCCCGACTCACGGCCTTAGAGCGATAGTTACTCTTCCTGCATCGGAATATGCCAAGCTGACCAGTCTTACTGCTGGAACTTAACGTCATAGGTCTCCTATGATATGTGCACAATTTTTCTGTAGAAAGGAGCCTATGCTCTTTAGAAAATGCAATGCACTGAGCTGGGGTGCTGAGCCGGGAAATGATCTTATACATATTCCAGTGGCACCTAAAACAACAAAAATATTCCTATAAGAAATCTAATAACTGTTTTACTCGTCAGCTTTTTCTGTGAAGTTTACATTTGTGGCTATATAAGAAAACACAGTGAACCAACCTTATTTCCTCGGCATAGTAGTCGACTCTTCGGCCAGACGAACTAGGAGCTCGAGGTTCCGCATCACCTACGCTGCTCTCAGACGACGTCGGATACGCAGGCGGCAACACCGACACGGTACTGGGAACAGTGACGCGGGAACTACCAGCTATTTTAGGTAGGTTTTGATGGCACAGTCATGGGTTGTGCCCATGACTGTGATATCGAAACCACTGGTTCACTAGAGTCCAACATTTGCACACCCCGTGTGCCTGCAGAAGAGCTCGCAACAAGTGGCTCATCACAGTCCAACACTTTCATTACACTCGATTCTACAAACGGCACTTCACCACACGGGGGTCTTAAGAAGAGCTCGCAACAAGTGGCTCGTTAGAGTCTATAACTTGCACTACACTGGATTCTTCAGACGGCACAGCAGGACACAAAACTTGGGGCTTCGGAGACGCCATGGTGGTAGTCAAACGTTTTCACCGACAGGAGTACGTAAGCGTTCTCAGCTGCTAGGGTTGAAACGACTGAAGATGAAAGTGACAAATGACAATACGAAATTAGAGATGAAGCGTATATACCAGAACAGATCCAGGGACTAAGTATTTAACGAGACTAGGTTGCACCTATTCCAACTTTTAAAATACTTGATCCATCTAGTCTCACTGTGCCTACGCGTCGTACTCGTATTTTGTTGCCGTAGACTGTAGTTACTAGGCGCTCAACTCGGGTCGTCTTTGCCTAAATCATTAGTTTGTCAGTCATTTGAATTTGAACCAAATTTTAATGAACATAAAGGTAACGTGACGCACACTCGTGTTTGTTGTGTAATAATATATTCTGTCCTTTTTTAACTAGACTATTCCGTAGTCTTTCTATCTTTGTCTGTCAATACTCGAGACTAGTCGGGACTCGGACTAGTTCAACCAAATACTAGTACGAGACTAGTCGGGACTCGGACTAGTTCAACCAAGTACTTATACAAGAGTACAAGGCAGGCGAGTGTCTATTGTCAAATACGGTACGGACTCATACGAATGTGATCTCGGTGGACGCTGTTTTCATGTTTCCATGACTACATAACATAGTATTGGAAGCGTAAACAATTTACATATACATAACATAAACACTCACGCCTGTCACCCAGAGGGGTAGGCAGAGACTACAGACTTCCATTTGGCACGATCCTGACACACCTCTCTCGCCTCCTTCACATCCATACACCTCCGCATACATGCTCGTCGGTTAAGGGTACTCCTAATTTGGCCCGTTTTCAATAAATCGCCAATTTGGTCGATAAATTTTCGCCTAGGACGTCCCTTTCCGACTCTGCCATTCACTTCTGCAACATAAATTTTCTTTGTCACTCTTTCCTCATTCATTCTTTCCACATGACCAAACCACCGAAGCATTCCTTTCTTAAACCATTTACGTTTCGATGATTATGTAATATGTTTTGATGAATATACATTAAATAATTAATATAAGTAAATGTGTCATGCATGCTTTTAGTAGTACAAAAATGCGTTCATTTACCCACATTTACTAATCTATATATTTTATAATCATTCGTAAGGAGTGAACTTCAGTCGTGCGCCGGTACTGACAAACTCACTTTTTATTTTTCAGAACAATTCTTTTTTTAATGTTATTTATAAGAATTATGCAAACAATATTCTAAAAAAATATTATAATTAGGCTCGTTACTATTAAGATTATATGAGAGATAAATGAAAATAATCCACTTTAAATTCTCCCTTCCGTCATTAGTATGAGCTGCATCAACCAATTGTAGAATTATAGCAATAGTAAAAAAAAACATAGCAGCTTAAAATCAAGACATACAAAATCAATAGGTGAGTACTCCCATTCTAGAGTTTTTTTAAAAAAAATCAAAGATAAACATCTTTTAAAACAAATTTTACAAAATATGAAGTACTACTAAGTAGCATTTGAAGTAATTGGAAGTAAATGATCTTAATTTATTTCTCATATAACCTTAATTCTCGTAATTTAGTTACGAGAATAATTATAATAATTTTGTAAAGTATGAAGGGAAGATGTATGAATTCATTATTGCACACGTTTCAGCAGTACGCACGTAAAATATGGTACTTGAAACTATAGCGTATCCTATTCCTATTCCAACAATACTAAACTTTATGTGTACTTGATACTTTATGGACTAGGCGGAACAGGTATTTGGATCGAGTATTTATACGGAATTGGACTAGGTGCACCTAGTACGAAATTTACCTAGTACGACTCATCTCTATACGAAATAGCGTCAGTTTTACGTTTCGTTCCACAAGCCGTCAAAAGACCGTAAACACTGCACATTTTAATTTTAATAGCTCGTAATGAAAATAATTCTGTAATTTAAATATAAACTGTTAAATATACCTGCATGCATGAAAACTATTAAAATGAGTACAGAATATAATTATTAACGTAAATTTATATAAAATGAAATGTCACCGAAAGTATAACAACCAATAATAACCTAACCGTACGTAAAATGGAACATTCAATGGCATGATATATCCGTAGTACGATATAATCTAATATAATAAAATATTCCAAAAATAATTGATTTTCAATCATTTTTTTCTCTAAAAGAACGGGTCTCGGTTGGGGTGACAGTACGGACAGTAGTGACGGTTGGGATGAAAGAGTATCCGTGGAAGGAGATAGAACATCAGAGTAGCTGTGGTCTGTTGTCGAAGTGTTCTGAGTACTGGAATCCTGCAAATAATGAAATATTATTATTGTTTTTCAGTTTCCTGAAACGGAAGACCAATGTTTAGCAATAACTTGAGATTTTGAAGATTAGGTTCTGGAATTTCCCACACTGTACAGGCAGCATCAATGGAAACCATGTCCCGCGATAATAGTGCCAGTTAATTATCATAGGAAATAAATCCATTATGGTTAATAAATAATCTTTTGACATTACGTTACATAAATAGTTTATTATAAATGGGTAATCGAGGAAAAAAATTCCTCGATTACCCATTTGAAATAATGTCTTAAATCAATTTCTGAATAAACACGTGTTATAACTACGATCAACAATGGCGGACTGACGCTAGAAGTGAGGCATATTTATCGTAACAGATAAAAAAACAGGTATCTTAAAATAGCAGACTGTAACTGTGACAAACAAACTGAAAGAACAGCTCCTGTTCCACGAGATAACAAATCCACTAAAAGACAGTCACAAGTTTTTCTTTATTAATACATATGACAGTGACCTATGTTAGAATAAGATATAAAATTGTTACTGTGATACCCAGTTACTCGTCACAAGCTCTTTCCTTATCTCGCATAGGTCCAAGACCTTAGTTAGAAAGAGAAGTATCCTATGGAAGTATCTTAAAATAGCAGCCTGTCACTGTGACAAACTGAATGAACAGCTCGTTTTCCACGAGATAACAAAATTGATTATACGCCAGTCACAAGATTTTCTTTGTTTACCGTTACCTTTATTAAAATAAAATAATTTTTTTTACCGTTACACTGTGTACCCTGTTACAGTTATCACAAGCTCTGTCCTTTTCTCGCGTAGGTTCAACACCTTAGAAAGAGAAGTACCTACCAAGACTGTAGTAACAGACTGCTATTTTGTAACACGTTTTTAGAACTTTTAGTCATGTGGAACTGGAACAGGCGGAACAGATATGTGATTTTACCTGTTTCAGCCCACTCCTAACTGATGCTCGACTCGTTCGGACACATACTAAGGTAGGACAAACAATTCCGGCTGCTTTTTTATCTATCGGTACTTACGCTATTGAAAAATAATTTTATTGATTTTTTGAACATTTGGTGTTAGGTGAACGACCTCCCGATTATACTAGCTTATCTATGGGAACGACATTGGGTCGAAATCCTTCCAATTTTAGGTATGTAGCTTACTCCGTCTGCGACCTAGATATCCACCCGTGACACACGGATGGATAGACGGACAAAGAGACAGAATAGAGTAACATTAATAGGGCTCCGTTTTACCCTTTTTGTACGGAAACCTAAAACGAGATTTTATAAACAAATATTTTAAAAGTCAAACAAAACTATTTTACGTGAATTAATTATAATTTATTAGTAAAAGAAATAATAATGACGACATGCTAAGTTTACAATAATTATAGTGATGGTAAGTATTGTAATAATCCAGAGAGATCGTTTATTTAAGGCGATACCTCTAGCGAACGACCTTGAGCGTTCGGTCAAATCAAATCAAATCTGCAAGACGCCACCTACTGCTACGAACGTAGTGTTGCGTGAATAAGTCAACGTCATACACTAGCGCCATCTAGTGTCAGGAACGAGAGCGAGGGGAGCTTTGCAGAAAATGACATCACAAATCTTTCAACCGACAGCGCCATCCGAAGAACTAAGTTTCTAGAAAATCTACACTCGAACACTCGTCGCTTTGCGCGCATTTACTTGAATATTCCGGATGCTTCATTGCTAATTTGTATATATAGGCGCTGCAAGATGCGATCGGGGAAGTATTGGATTTGGCGAGACAAGCGAAGCTTCGGAGCGGAATAAAGTGAATTAGTGTGTTTAATTATTAGTGTTTTAAGTTTTAATTTGTGTAAAGTAAATCAAAGTGTTAATTTAGGTAATTTTATCGGCAATTTTTATTGTCACGAACCTCAAGCTCGTAACAATTGGTGTCAGAAGTGGGATAAAATCATGCCGATTTTACCTAAGGACGAGATGGAGGGTGTCCGTACCCGAAGTCAACGCCAGCAGGAGACGGACCAGAGGAGATTTGGTGGTGCAACGCCGCAGATGTCTGAGGGCCAGCCGCCGGCCACGGAAGCCGGCCCGTCAGCAGCTTCTACGTCTGTGGCACCTGACTTAGGTGCTCTGATGGTGATGCTGCAGCAGCTGTGGGGCAGACAGGAGGAACAGGCCCGCCGGCAAGAGGAACAGGCCCGTCATTTAGAAGAGCAACTCCAACGCGATAAGGAAGAGCAGATGCTCCTCATGAAGGACCTTCACGCTATCTTCGGAAAAGAGATACGGGAGGTGAAGGATAAGGTTGCTCAACATGACAACCGCCTGTCGGAGGCCGAAACCCGAATCGACCAAGTAAACAATCGGGTTGACAACGTAATGGCTAACGTGAAGAAAACGCTGGACGACCTCAAACTTGGGGATGGAACAACAGCTCCCGTAGTAGCTACAACACCTTCGCTACGTGGATTCAAAGTGCCGCCGTTCGACGGTACCTCTTCCTGGTCAGCCTACAAGATCCAGTTCGAGGCTGTTATGAAGGAAAACGGCTGGAATAAAAGTCAGGCCATGACTGCTCTCACACTAGGCCTGCGCGACCAGGCCTTAACAGTTCTGGAAGCTCTCGGTGAGGAAGTGACTTATGAGCAACTCCTTGAGGCATTGGAGGCGAGATATGGCGACGCTCACCTGGAACACGTCTTTCGTGCGCAGCTTAAAGATCGTGTGCAGCGCATCAACGAAAACCTGCAGCAGTGGGCTCTAGAAATGGAGAAGCTGGTGCGAAAAGCATACCAGTCTGTACCTGCGCTCATTGAAGGGAACCTGGTGCAGACATTCATCGACGGCATCCGCGACCTGGAAGTCAGAGCTGCTGTGAGGCTCGGGCACCACGAGACGCTTAAGGACGCCTTGGCCCATGCACTGGAAGTGGAAGCCGTGCGGCAAGATCACCGTTCCCATCGCGTCAGGGAGGTTGCAGCAGCTACAGTTCGCGACCGCAACAGAGGATACAGCCCTAGGTGCTATGGTTGTGGGGAAAAGGGCCATCTTCGATCCAGCTGCCCTAAGCGAACCCTAGAAAGGGAAGGTGAACGATCTCAGGAGGGTAGTGCGGCCAACAGCACCGCCCAGCAGCAGCAGGGAAACGAGTAAAAGCCAGAACTGCGGGGCGGGTGCTGGCTGATGTTAAAAGAGCCCCAAGGATCTCAATCTCACAAACCCATGATGGGAACAGTCTAATCATCAAGGGCGAGGTCAACGGAATGCCGTGTAAACTGACCATAGACAATGGAGCCTCTCGTACGGTTGTTAGTTCCCAACTTATTAGTCAGTTCCTTGGGGACTCCGCATACAACCGAGAACGCATTAATTTGGTAACAGCCACCGGTCAGCGTATACCCGTCCGAGGAGAGAAGGAGATGGAGTTGAAGCTAGGCAACGTGATCTACCTGCATAATGTCATCGTGGCTGATATAATGGACGACTGCATCCTAGGCCTAAACTTTATGAGGAATAATTGTTGTGAGATCGACGTTAAGCAAGTTGTTTTGAAATGTGGACAGAAGGAACTTTTTATGGAAGCTGCGTTACCAGGGAACGTGTACAGCATTAAGAAGATTATTCTTCCGCCGAGATCGGAAACGATTGTTCCGGTTGGTCTTCCTCGAAACGCTGGGCAAGCTCACCGTTGTGTACTTGTGGAAAGGGTAAACAATGACCTTCCATGGAAAGTAGCTCGAACCTTGGTCAGGACCACTGACATCTCAGGAGTACGTGTGCTGAACCTTTGCGACCGGGAACAGATTATAGAAAAAGGCACACTGATTGGTACTTGTGAGGAAGTGGATTGGTTACGTCGGTGCCAATATATACCGAGTGGGACCCCCAGCAAGGATGCAGAAACGAGAGTGACCACACTTTTGGAAGACTGTCGCAGTGTTCTCTCCCCGAACGAATTGGTCAAGGCGAAGAAGTTGTTACTCAAGTACGCCGATGTATTCTCATCAAACGATGCTGACATAGGAAAGACTGGCTTAGTTCAACACAAAATAAACACAGGAGAAGAATTGCCTATCCGTCAGCGGCCAAGAAGATTGCCGGTAGCACGTGAAAAGGAAGTGGAAACCATGATTGAAGGAATGGTGAAGGATGGTGTTATTGAACCTTCCTCTAGTCCATGGTGTTCACCAGTGCTGCTGGTGAAGAAGAAGGATGGCAGCATGCGGTTTTGTGTTGACTACCGCCGTCTGAACGACGTTACGAAGAAGGACAGCTATCCCTTGCCAAGAATTGATGACACGCTGGATATGCTTACAGGAATAAAGTGGTTTAGCACGCTGGATCTAAATAGTGGCTACTGGCAAGTTGAAATTGACCCTAAGGACAACGAGAAAACTGCGTTCTCGACGGGAAAGGGTCTGTGGCAATTTAAAGTAATGCCGTTTGGGTTGTGCAATGCTCCAGCACGTTTGAAAGGCTGATGGAACTTGTACTTACCGGGCTAATTGGCGATGCCTGTCTGGTCTACTTGGATGACATCATCATCTTAGGCCGTACGTTTGAGGAACACCTTCAAAACCTGGAACGCGTGCTCATGAAGATTCAGAGTGCCAATCTCAAGTTGAGCCCGAAGAAATGTTGACTATTCCAACGGCAAGTTAACTTTTTGGGGTTTGTAGTATCGGAAGAAGGTATCCGCACAGATCCAGAGAAAATCGCCGCTGTCAAGGATTGGCCGGTTCCAAAAGACAAGACGCAGGTTAGAGCATTTTTGGGTTTGTGCTCCTATTACCGGCGATTTGTGAAGAACTTTGCAGATATAGCCAAACCTCTGCACAAGCTAACCGAGGAGAAGCGACATTTCTGCTGGGATGAAAGTTGCAATATCGCATTCCAGGAACTCAAGGACCGTCTGTGCAAAACACCTATTTTGGGATACCCTGATGCAAGCAAAGAATTTATAGTTGACACAGACGCAAGTGATATCGGACTTGGCGGTGTGTTGTCTCAACGGAATGGTGACTAAGAGGTCGTGATAGCGTACTTCAGCAAGTCGTTGTCAAAACCGGAAAGGAACTATTGTGTCACAAGACGCGAATTGCTCGCTGTGGTAAAGTCGTTGCAGCATTTTAGCAAATATCTTCTGGGACGAAAATTTCACTTACGAACTGACCATGCTGCACTGAAATGGCTATTGCAGTTTAAAAATCCAGAAGGACAAGTTGCGAGGTGGATTGAACTACTGCAGGAATACGACTTTGAGATCGAACATCGCAGCGGAAAATCTCACGGCAACGCAGATGCATTGTCAAGAAGACCTTGTCCTGAAGATTGCAACCATTGTACTAGGCAAGAGAGTAAGGAAGAGGTATCCGTGAGGATGCTCAGGACGGACCATCTCAGCAACGAATGGAAGGACAGCTTACAACATGCACAGCAGGAAGATCCGGACATCAAGCCGATTCTGGAATCGATAAAGGCCAGTGCTCCCAAGACTAAGTGGAGCGACGTCTCAGCAATGAGTTCGACCACTAAAAGCTATGGGCCCAGTGGGACAGCTTGCTGCTTCAGGATGGAGTTCTGTGCCGTAAATGGGAAAATGTTAGGGGAGACAGCTGTCATTTGCAAATGGTTGTCCCTAAAGCTAAAGTACCGGATGTTCTACAGCTGTACCATAATGATTGTTCCGGAGGCCATCTGGGAGTTAAACGAACTCTACTGAAGATCCGAGAACGGTTTTATTGGGTCCACTGTCGAAACGATGACGAGGACTGGTGTCGCAAATGTACGAGTTGTGCGGCTGTAAAGGGACCTCAGACTCGTAGTAGAGGTGCATTGAAGTTATACAATGTTGGGGCACCATGGGAGAGAATAGCCATTGACGTGGCGGGGCTGTTTCCGGA